AAAGAACATGACGAGGATCTATTTTTTCAAAACAGAGAAAGATTGAGACGAGGGTATCCATCTACTACTATTTGCTGCATGCGAGTCAGTACAGGAGTCTCTGGGGTTTAGTCTGTTTGAGCTTGTGTTTGGGCACACTGTGAGAGGGCCTCTTAAACTGCTCAAAGAGAAGTTATTATCCAGCAGTACTGAGTCTATTAATTTTCTACAGCATGTTTCAGATTTTCGCAATAAGCTTTTGAGAGCTTGTGAGTTAGCTAAAGATCATCTTAGTTCTACTCAGAAGTCTATGAAAGCGAAGTATGATGTAAATACTGTAGAACAGAACGTTAAGCCAAGTCAAAAGGTTCTGGCATTGTAACCAGGGCTTGGTGATACACTTAGTTCTAGATGTTTTGGTCCCTATGTCATTGAGAAGAAGTTAAATGACCTTAATTATATAATAGTCACTCCAGATAGGTGTAAGCAGACACTGTTATGTCATGCAAGTATGTTAAAGCCTTATGTAGAGTGAAATAGTAATTTATTTAAAGACCGTGTCAATGCAGTTGTTTCTAAGCCCAAAGAACTGAAAAGCGAACTTAGCAGCAGTCATCTTGGTCCCACTGACACAACAAAACTCAAACTCCATTGTGCTGTGGAACTTGGACTCTAAGCTGTTATACCAGGAAGAGAGTCAATCTCGAAATCGCTTATGTTCCAGTTCCTTGAGGTGCTTTATGCGCGTGTCCAGTTGTCGGGGAAATTAAAAAACAATCGCCAGTGATCGGGGACCAAATTTCGTCGATACAGCTAAGGAGCTCCAGGATATGGAAAATGCTCTGGATCAACACAAAGTTGAGGACCAAACAGTGGACAAAGGGGTCAAGTGGATTTTAATCTGCCCTTGATGCCACATTTTGGAGGGGTCCACGAGGTCATAATCAAAGCTGCAAAAAGGCCATTTGGGCAGTTCTCGGCAATGCCAATGTCAATGATGAAGAGATGACCACAGCCTTCATTGGGGTGGAAGCCCTCTCAAATTCCCATCCCCTAACGTACCAGTCAGCCCATCCTAAAGACACTTCACCACTAATGCCGAATCACCTCCTTCATGGACAAATAGGTGAATCCACCCCTGAAATAGATGAGGAGATCGCTTATATTTTAAAGAATCTGTGGAGACGTGTGCAGGAATTTCTTATCTCACTTTTGGAGAAGATGGATTAGGGAATTGCTTCCATTGTTTAACCCCTGCCAAAAATGGACCAAAGTATGACAAGATCTGAATGGCAGAGACATGGTCTTAGTTATCTCACCTTATAGTCCGAGAGCACTTTGGCCTTTGGGAAGAGTGATAGAAGTTTTCCCTGGAAAAGTTCGACATGTGTGAGTAGCCAAAATGCAAGAAGGCCAGAGTACTGTTGTTGGACACATATTGAAATGTATTTTATTGGAATCTGGCTAGACAAAATGCCATACAGGAGTTTGATTACAACTAAAGACTGTGCAGAAGGTGTTCAAGAACTTAAAAAAAAAAACCAACAAAGACACTTACATAATAACTTTTGTTGTTGCCGTGTAACTTGTGCAACCTAGTGACATCCTTTGCCAAAATATCTTTGTCCGAAATTTGTAGTTATCATATTGTAGTCATCTTGAGTTCTGTAGCTGTTCTGAAGGATGTTGAGATAAGTTTAGGTTTAGATCCAATCCAAAGGGTCTCAATGGTAGTTTAATGTTTATTTTTTGGTGTTTCCAACACACTAGGCGTGCTGATGAATATGAAGAACCTGGAGGTATTGAAGTGATTGGCTGGTAAATGGATGGTCTTTAAGAAGAGCTGGCTTGTTGCTGCTGGCAATGCTTATCCTTAACCACTTTCCTCTCTGCTCTCCTCTCTGCTTGAAAAAATTTTCTTTTCATCATCAGAGCTCGTCAGATAGGTATTCGTTGACCACAAACCAACCAAACTTGCTCTTATTGGTTAGCTTTATGGCCTTTTCCTTTTCAATGCTAAAGCAGTACCTTCCTCCAGGGCACATTTCACTTTCTCCAAAGAACTACTTTTCAAGGTGTTCAAAACATATGTACAGTTCTCATGATGAACCCTCTTCATGGCTTCCTTAACTGTAGCTCTGTTCCTTTCAGAAAAACAAAACTGACTGGCCTTGATTTGTGCGCTTTCATTAGGTTTTCTGTAAAAGAGCCAATCAACATGCAGATGTTTTGATATTACAGTCAGGACAATTTTCTTACATTTTACATCTGGTTAATAGTACATGTAAAAAACCAAGCATTTTTATTTCCAACTAGGTTGTAAAGTAATTGATCTCTTTAACTTTTTTTATTGTGTTGGTCAGGAATGACACTGAGAAACTCTGGAGGGACATTTCATCAAAATTAAAGATCCATATCAATAGAAACCACTTGCCAAATCAAGAGGAACACAAAGGTCATATTACTGAAGAGGTTTGTTCTTTTTAATGAATATGTTCGTAAGTTCTTATTTCTAACACTTGAGGCTTTTGTGATGATTGCTGGCAAAAGGCCTTCACATGTAACAACTACTAGTGATGGTCCCTGCTAGCAGTTTCATGCCACTACAGCCTATAGTTTCTTAAGCTAAATGTAAATAATGCAACGTCAAACAAAGTCTTGGTGTGGGGATCTGAATTGGGTTTCAACCTATGATGCTTTGTTTTCACCAAACCTACTATTGGTGACAAAATTGCGGACATTGACCTTTTTAACCCCCTATTCCTTCAATTTTATCTCTTTTGCCCTTGTTAGTTAACCTCCTCTCCCCCACTCCCCAAAACAATGTTGCATAGTGTTTCCATGAACCTTAAGCTCCATACAAGCAACATTGAATGAGGGAAGGGATGTTTGGTCAATTATTTTGAGAGAGGTAGAGACAGGATTGTTATTCTACACATGCAAAGGACTCTTCAAATACAATGTATGTTTCAACTCATTTTGATGCTGATTGTAGCTTGGATTTGCATTAACTCTTTCATGTGCATGTATCAAACATTTATCTTGTTGGTATTCTCCAGCTTATCGACAAATGGCTTATAGGCAGAATGCAAGAGATGAAAATAGACGGTAAGCAGTTTGTGGGTCAAACTCCACCACCACTATCAACAAATAGGCAGTTATAGCCAACAGACCCACATACCCCATTCAAAGTGAAACAACCGCTGCAATAGGAGAACTGTTAGCAATCCTCCAGGATAAGAAAGCTACTTGGAAGCCCTGATATTTTTTGACAGAGTTTTTCCTAGAGGAAATAAATGCAATCAAGCAAACATTCACAGGTAGGGAATTAATAATATAGATTGTAAATGTACTTACTTACAACAGCAGTCATTTGGAGTTTGGTTAATCAGTGCACCTGTGTGGTGCTGTAGATTTGCATTTTAGATGCTTCACTTTTATACTTCTTTTTTAATACACTAAACAACTGACGCGAGTCTAAATAAGTTGTATGCTTTCATAAATACAGTGTACTACAAATGGACCCCACACATCTGTCACTTTCTCTGACAGCAGCGCTGGTGGGAGAGGTGGCTGAGGAAGACTAAGAATGGAGGTTTTGACTTTTCTTTGTGCTGTTGCCAAATCAATATCAAAGGATTAATTTCAGAAAAATGCAGCTTCCCTACAGGACAGTAGCCTCAGGAATTGGTTTGATAAAACATGGTTTGTATAAGCAAAGGTAATGATTATTTCACTCTGTTTACATGGCTTAGCACTGCTGATAATAACTTGGCTTGACATCACTGGTTTATAGAACAATAGAGAAATGAAGAGAAATGGCTTAACTCCTAATTCCTTAGTTCTGACCATTGTCTCTGGCCTAAAGCATTATTACTGTGCATATATTTCATAAACAAAAAACTCTGAACTACTTCATTTTTAATTTTTTTAATGTAAGGTTAAAGGAAGTGCTTCAATCAATTATCATAACATATTGATCAGGTATGCCGATATGTGATCTTCACCATTTTAGCGACGAATATGGGCATTTAGGCAATGAAGGTTTATGGTCAATATCATCACCAACAATGGCACTGAGTCTTAGAATGAATCTATAAAATATCAATACAGATAGTCACAGATCTTCATTGAAGCTCCCTGAATGGGTTTTTCAGCAGCAATACAAATGATTAGAAGAAATAAAACGAAAATTAAAGAATATAACACTATAGTTACAGCTAAATATATATATATATATATATCAGAAGAATAAAAATATAAAACAATGAGGTTAACCTAAGAGCAGCCTAGTAAATTGGCACTTAGATTTCTTGGGACATTTTTAAGACTTAAGATTACTGCTTGATGAGTTCCACAGTTTCGCTCTTCTGTAGACTTCTGACCAGTGGAAAGATGGCAAAAAGGTATATCTAGAGTACTAGCTGAGTGAGTTTGCCAGTCATGAACACATGAACAAAGCCTAAACTTATTTTCAAGGTAATCTGGAGCAAGATAATTAATGCACTTGAAAACCATTGTTGCATCATTCAATTTAAGTCTATCTTGAAATCGCGAGAAATTGTCAAGTCGGTGCGAGAAATTGTAAGCGTCGATGGACTGAAGCTTTCCTAAGGCAACTACAGTTGTTTCCCAAGGAGAGTTAACAGTTCGAACCAATCGATTCCTGAGTTTGTTTGCTTATTTGTATGAAAATTTCGACGTCTGTGATGTTATAAGTTCGAAGGAATCGATTCACGAGTTTGTTTACTTATCTGTATGCAAATTTCGACGTCTGTGATGTTGTCAAGGGAACTTATTCAATATTCGGTCGAATTATATGACCCAGTTTCCCCGCAGCAAAATAACAACAAACTTTATTGAATATTAAATCTAGAAGAGCAGCTCATATGTTGATCATGACTTTTGCAGATGTGGTGGCTCCTAAAAGAGCCATTTTAGCGACCTGGAAACGTCCTAAAGACGCAACCAGGGCGCGGTGGCTCCTAAAAGAGCCGTTTTTTGATGTTCCAGGTTCTGCTTCAGGTTCTGGTCGCCGGGCCGTTCAGGTAACTGCAGAGTTTAAGAAGGCGGCGGGCAGAAATCTCGTTGCCGTTAAAGTCTTCCCAGTGCTTGAAGATTTTAGATTGAAGCAGCCGGTACTTCTTCCGCTGAATCCTGGACAGCTTCCCGTCTGACACTAGCCTTATCTGAATGGAGACAAGTCTGGCCTTCTGGAGTAGCAGCTCCACCAGCAGGTAGAATGGCAAGTGGACTCTGTTGTTGGCTCTACTGTTAAGACCGTGGTGCCACGCCTCTATGTCGTTGTTGGTGCGGATCGGCAGCATGAAGAGAGACCAACAGGATTGAGGCCACATTGTGCCGGTAATCCAGTTCTCCTCCACGTACAAGGCAAGTGTTTCCAGAGCAGTGGTAGTGGCGCGGTCTCTGAGCCGCTGAAACATCGGCGTAATCTCGGTTTCCGGCAGGAAGGGCAGCGCCATGAGTTTTCTAATGTACTTGTAGGTACGGCTGTCTGTGCGGTAGGCTGGCTCCAATCCCAACTCTTGAACTTTATTGGAAAAAAGGAAAACAAATTTTCAGAGATAAGCCGTTAAGCATTTATTTTTAACTCCGTGTGTTTCTAATTCTATTAGTATAGGTATGCATTAAGCTTGATTGATATTATTCAGAGAAGAGCCCTTAGAGAAGGACGGTAGGTAGGTATGGGTTTAATTGAAATTATTGAAATAATTAAAATAGATTTTTAGAGATATGCTGTTAAAAAATTAATATTTTTTCTCGTGTGTGCCTATATAAATTCTTTCTTTAGGTATGCGTTACCTTTCTCCACAACGCTTGCGTCCGGTGAAACAGACATCCCTGCAGTGACACGTTGGGCAGCAGCTCTCTAAAGACCGTCCAGAGAGCTTGTTCAAAGTCCAGAGTGATGCTTCTGACTGCTGGAGGCGAAGGAAGTATTCTCAGCACTTCTTGCAACACTGTACGGTAGTCCCGCTTTCTCTTACCAGACATGAGGACAAACAGCAGATACACCGGTGTTGCAGGTTCTATGGTTCAATAGATTGCAGCCATCGCACCGAAGGGCTTCTTGTCTCGGTCTACATTTTTCTTTGCAGACGATGCAATTGTCAGTTGAAGACATAACGAAGAATGATGAAGAGCGTATCGTATTCGTAACCGTGTCGTACTCGTAAGCGAGAACGAGATCAGATGATCGGATTAGATTAACTGGTTTTTTACTTTCCTTTTATACACACCCCTAGGATCCAAATTTTCACTTCGAAGAAAGCAAGGAATTTGATTGGAGGATCGTTAATTAACACAACATTTGTTTTTTGTTTGTTTGTTTGTTTGAATTTAGTCTCACCTCAAATTAACATATTTTCGCACATCGCCCTGGGTTTAAATGGTGAGAAAAATGATCATTACATTTCCAACATTTCGACTTGTGTTTGGATTAAATAGTTTGCCTTTACACTACGAGATACGAACCAAATGTTGTTGTACAACACCTTCAGTTTTGAACGTGCTATCGACAACATACGTTTATAAAGTTTGAGTACAGACAAGCGAACAAACTTATCGGTTTCGAACGTGCTTTCGGCAACATACGTTTATAAAGTTTGAGTACAGACAAGCGAACAAACTTATCGGTTTCGAACGTGCTTTCGACAACATACGTTTATAAAGTTTGAGTACAGACAAGCGAACAAACTTATCGGTTTCGAACGTGCTTTCGACAACATACGTTTAGAAAGTTTGAGTACAGACAAGCGAACAAACTTATCGGTTTCGAACGTGCTTTCGACAACATACGTTTATAAAGTTTGAGTACAGACAAGCGAACAAACTTATCGGTTTCGAACGTGCTTTCGACAACATACGTTTATAAAGTTTGAGTACAGACAAGCGAACAAACTTATCGGTTTCGAACGTGCTTTCGACAACATACGTTTATAAAGTTTGAGTACAGACAAGCGAACAAACTTATCGGTTTCGAACGTGCTTTCGACAACATACGTTTATAAAGTTTGAGTACAGACAAGCGAACAAACTTATCAGCCGAACATCCTACTCTCCTCGACTAATCTCTTTATTGGTGGTTGGTGGCGAGATCGTTCCTTGGTGGCGAGTCTGCTTGGTGGCGAGGTAACTGGATACCGGTATAATATAACTGACAGAAAAGCACTACAATCCCACAAACTCAACTACTTTATTAAACAGCGAGTAATGTTATTAACATGGAGCAACTATTCAAAGCAGTACATAAATTATTGTTAATAAACTTAATTAAGCACACCACAGTCTATATCGTAGCTCACCACTGACACAATCTCACTGCTGTCCCCAAAGTTCCTTTAAATAAGCAATCTTGCGCAGTAACTCTCTCTCGAGATATAGCTTTCAAAATAGTCGTGGCTCTGACAGCAACAACTACTCTTCCTACTACATAAGCGAGTCTTTAAATATGTTCACATAGTGTTCTGGAACATTCCAGAAGCTTACATGAGAACTATTTTAGTAGTATTACATAATAAATGCATGACTTGATGAAATGTTCTGGAAAGTTCTATTACATGCGAGTCAGGATGAAGGTTTAGACTGCAGTTGACAGTTGAGATCATCCCTGACAACAACGGTGTTGAATGTATTACATACTGCTTTCTCTCTTTTCCTGTAATTACAATAGCAGTTACATGCAGATGTATGCTGCAATGTTTGGGTGAGCAATGTATCAAATGATGGATAGCAACAAAACTCAAATTGTGCGGGCAAAGGAAGAGAAGCTTGCATCATAGATCCAGCCCTACAGATTCCCCAGCCTCAGACCAAGGAAAGCGTCAAGGTTATCTCACGGGTTGCTCAACAACTTAAGTATTAAAAAACCAGTCAGAGTGAACATCAGGCAGGTTCACATATGGAAAGATGTTAAACAGGCTCAATGAAATCAGCTATGAGGTGCAGATGACCTTGTTAAAATTGTATTTTTCTGGAGAACCGACAATAGACAATAATGAGCAAGGAGAGAGTGCTTCAAAGGTATGCCTTTTTGGTTTTGTATGCAATCATCTCTTTGCAGTATTTAGGGATAATTCTTGGACAAAACACATGTAGGATAATTTGTGGATGTACGATGAATGTGTCAATGGGATTTTACCGAAATCAGATTTGGTAATCCAGTGGTAGGAATGTGAAGAGGTTAAATGTTTCTTTAGCAGATCACTTTTCAACCAGTTTGATTTTGTCTTTTTTACGACATAAATGGGCTTAACCTTATACCAGTAAATCTTTTCACACCATAACTTGATTAGCTCCATAGACAACGTGACGATAGTATTAGCATTTGTTAGTTTCCTTTACAGAAGTTCTGGATTATGTTGAAAGAGTTCTTTTCTTTACGGGTCAACCAACTGATTGTATGGTGGTACAGAGGGATTGCTGCTCGGCTGCGAAGCTGAAGGTTGTGTAAGTTCTACAAAGTGGACCTTCACCATCATTTCTTCACCTGACTGTTTTCCACTATTTCATGGAGAGCTATCATCAGTTAATCAGGTAAATAAATTAAAAAAGTGATTTTGCTATTGTTTTTACAGGGGTTACTAAATATTTATTAGCCATGACTCATTTAATATATTCTTTGGATACTTTCGAAATTGAAATGCATGAGAAAGTCATTATTATTACTAATTATGATAGAGTAGGATTATTTGAGTTATAAGAAAAATTTTGTTTCTGGCTAGTTATTACTTTTGAAGAAGGTTACTGATACAGGGTTTTTGATGTTGGTGTGGTCAGGGAGCCATGAATTTTAGGTAAATCCTGCGAAATTGACAAAACCATGCAAAATACTACAAACTACGAAAGAAATTTTGCCAAGTACATGTTGCCACAACATATTTGAAACTTGCAATATATTTGAACTTATCCTGGCTGTTGGGGCTACTTATTTTCCACAAAATTGCACAATTATCTTAAAAAACATCCCAAATCTTCAAGGTGTTCTTGGATCAATGTTACTAAAAAGTGGGCAATGGTCACAATGTTAAAAGCGTTGCCATTGGTGCATTTCTCAAATGCATTGTTGTTAAGAGAACGAATTAAGATATCTGTTGAGATCAAACAAAGGGCAAACCGTCTAATATATTTTTTCTTAGTTAGTCCAAACAAGTTGTTCAACTTGCTATCATTTCTAAGAAAAACGAGAAGCAAATGTACCATATTTCCTTTCTGTGGAAGGTTTTTGGTGTCTCTCTGCTGATTGCTGCATACTGTGGCTTGCAAACTCTGCAAATTATAGAGAAGTTTTTTAAAAATGCCAACACTTCTGTGAAAACAACTACAGGAGATTTTTGCAGAGTTATCCAAGAAGACGATAGCCGTCTGTTCTGCTAATGTAACATTGTCTTGAACCACAAAAGAAGTTGCCAATTAACTAACATCTCGAATGAGCAACGCATATCCATCATTTCCCCACAAAAACTGGTTAAATTGCGCTCTCTTTTCATTGAAATGTTTGTCAAACAAAGGCAAAATTGATTACTTTTCAACAACATTTGTCCAAAGCATTCCTGGGGAATCGGCTGTTAAGCATGCTTTAACATGGCAAGCTGATACTTGAAGCTCTCCAACTGCAAAATGACACAATTATTGTTCGTCTCTCTCCGCAACTTCAAATTCTTCCACTTGACTCAATTCTAACTACTGTGTAGGCAAAACTTGGTGAATCATCATAGACTGCAATGCTTGTGATGTGGGGGCAACTGCATTCAAAATTTTAGGTATCCTGACAATATACCTGCCATACAAATTATTGAAAGGTTGAATCCATGATCAGACCACTCTATCCCAAACAAGCAGACACTGTCAGAAGATCTGTTAAGGGGGTCCTTCAACAGGCAAAACCACCTTTCTCAAGGAAATTCTACAGTCTACAGCAGACAAAGGATGTGCCAGCTCCTCTCAGACCAAGTTGTCCTCCCTGATCTGAAGTGGACCATATCAGGGCTTAAACAAAGAACCAAAAGACCATCTGACGAGGAAATTGTCTAAGAAACTGCCAACCTGGTTGTCGACAAGCAAGAAATGTAGCAGCAAGACAGCCATGCAACAGCATGCCACTGAGGACTGTGGAATTTCATCCAGTCATAGCTGAGCACAACAGTTTATTGGGGTTGCATACTCAACTGAAATCATCACCTGCTAAAGAGTAGCAGTATGCAGTCAAAATGTCACAATCCACATCTGCACTGACATACTGATTTCTGATAATAATGTAGTACATATGTAGCGGAATATAAATATGGATATGATCTAATGCACTTCAAAACAACTGAAATAAAATAAGTAAACCTTACAATTAAAAACTAAACATACATTTTTATCTGCAGATCTCACCATTATTGAAAGTACTATCTCAAAGTAATCTAATCTTGTACTTGTATTTAAAAACCAATATAGAATGCTTTAAAGAGCAAAATCTCGATTATAAAATTATTAACGATATGGTATAAGGTGAAATCCAGAAATCTTAGATTGAATTTTGTTATATTTCGATAATTTGTCAAGACTACATCTAAATACTCGGAAATGAAACATTTGGAATACTTAGTTACTTGTATGATTCTCTTAATAATAAAGTCTTAAGGTCTTCCTTGAATTTGGAAAGATGTTTCATTTCCGATATTCAATGGTAATTTATTCTATGATGTGGGTGTGGCCATGGAAAAGGTTCTGTCTCCTTTTGTCTTTGACTTGAAGGAAGGTTGAGTTAACAACAACTCATCATGGGACCTCGAATGGTATGGGAATTTCTTCACTGAAACCAAATTCATGATATAGGCAGTCAATCCGTCCAACTACCACTGCATGAACCAAGTTTTGTGTAGATTTGTATGTGATGTACTTTCAAATCCTTTGAATGCTATGAAAGTGATGATAGGCTGCACTTCATGTTTTGGTAATGTGGGTGTCCAGTTTCAAGTGTGAGTCCATCCAAGCCCCAAGTTTCTTTGCAGTACTTACTGGGACAACCTCAGAATCACCAACTGACAATTCACCAATACTCACTCTACAAGGCTGATGACACGTCCCAATAATCAGGAATTCAGTTCTAGCATACATTGTGAACAATAACGGCCCCAGAGAACCACCTTGTGGAACACCAAAGGGTAAATGAATGCTATCAGAGAGCCCTCCATCAACAAACACCCGCAGAGAATGCCTAGATTGATGTTGTTGCAGATATCATTCAAGACTCAAGTGCCATCTCTATGCTATGGTTTTTCCTGTAAGCTGACTCTAGCAGAGGATACAAAGCGTTTTCAGACCTGAAGAAAAGCAGCCCTCTCAACTACTTTGGAGAGAACCTGCAAGTAACCTACAGGTCTAAGATTTTTGTATGCAGTCCTTAGACCAGTCTTCTTCAGGAGTGGATGTACAAGCACTTCCTTCCATTAGTCATGAAAATGACCAGTTGCTTATCTTATCTTAACATTGCCAATACATCCTCATGATGTATTGGCAATGTTTGTGATTACCAAGAGAAAAACATCTAAACATTAAGTGACTAATGAAGAGGGCATAGCATGCGTGTCTTTTTCACCAACTCTTGGATTAAAGCACAAACATCACCCTCATTTGAAATGACTCCAGCCTTTGCTCAATGCCTAATGAAATGTTACCATGTGTCTCAGTCACGAGTATTTTCATCGAATCTATTTCACTTGGAATTCCATCAACCTTCATCACAAAAAAACTTAGCAGAGTTTGTTTTTATCTAGGTGATCAGGGAATGACAGTTAATTCTCCACTGCTAGGAGCTCCTTCGCAGCGCTAAAAAGCTTTCCTTGATCCTCGCTGTTTTCTTCCATGAATTGTGTGTAAAACTCATTTCTTGCTTTAGACATTATAAAAGTAGCTTCATTTTTTCTCTTCTTGAAAGCATCCAAATCCTCAAAACTTCTCATTTTGCACCATTTTCTCAACAATAATCGTTCGATCAAGCAGAGTCTCCATGAGAGCTCCAGCAACAAACACCTCATTTCAAGTTCTGTGAAGGCTGCCTTATAGAAATGGACATGATTGAGCATCCCTCCAATTGTTTGCTTATTGATCAAACATAATATCCAAAAATCGACTTTAGAAGCCCTGCAGTTGCCTGTACATTTTCTTCTTCCTTTGTTTTGATATGCTTGGCTGAGAGTTCCCTATCCATGAGGTAATAAGTGTTCCTCCTCATAGCAATAAGCTTAATCGTTTTGAGAAGTGTGGGTGCCTAATGTGGACGATTTATTTGGGGTGGCAGCTTAAAATGTTGCTGAGGTAAAGGGTTATCTGGATTATTGCAAATGCCTGCATTTTCTGGTACACTAGGTTTAATATCATGTTACGTTATTTGATCTTCAGCATTCTCAAATTTCCCTAGTGGATCTCTGGATTTCCTCCATCCTCATTAGACTTCTCAAGCTGTGCTGCCAATCCCAATCTTTAATCTTAATTTTTGAGTTCTCTAATAGGCTCATAGGTTCCTATTCTAGCCTGTGACCTAGAGCTTCTTTCTTTCCCTTTTTGACTTCCAATTACATCACACAAGGGCATTTCTTATTTTTACTTATGTGCAAGAATGAACTGTTGCAGCTCGCTGACTAAAATTCCAGCAAGGGAGCATAATCTCAACAGGGCTCTGAAAACATTGCCTTTACTCTTTTGTTGATCATGATTTCAATATTTTCAAGGCATACATTTGCCATCTCGATGGCCTTTTCGGATAGCTTCAAATGTTTCGATAGTTCTTTAAGTTCCAGAAATGACCTGTATTCTGCACTGGCTTGTTGGCATGGTCTCGATTTTTCCATTAAGTTCAGGCAGTGTTTCGCTACGTTCATGCTATTTCGAAAGATTTTTGTCGATGTTGATGCCCCTCTGACTGGTTCCTTTCCACGTAATAAATTGCTCTTAGCCATCTCTCCTTAGGATTTCTAACTGTTTGAATGGTTAGGTCTAACAGGGATGTGTAATTTGTCCTCATTAACATACTGCATGTGTTTCACATGGTGCGACTCGTATTCCTTCACAACGAATTTCATACCACATGAATTCATAGGCAATGGGTACTCAGTGAAATCCTTACAAAGGTATGCCAAAGCCTAGGAATTTCATGAGATGATAAATTTATGGGTCTTAAACATTGGTCAGTGGGTAATCCAACACTGATGTAAAAATAAGATCATTTTTATGACCCGTGGTCATTTTCAGAACAAATCTGTCTACTTGTGTGTGCAGCATCTAATAATTATCACATGTGAATATTCATCGACTTGATGAATACTTAATGGCCCTATCTTTTAGCAAATTATGATTGAAACTGGAGCTTTAAAACTGTTTTCATTGTAGGAAGTGTTTAGCTGCAGATAGCCAGAATCAAAATGAAAATTGAAGTTGAATTTATCTACAATATTTTATAATTGTAATAATATGCATTTATATAGCTTTTAAAACTATGCACATGTTCAGTATTAAAAATTAGCACTGGACGCTTTTCTAAAAAGAAATGCTTTAAGATATTTCTTAAAAGTAGTTAGGCTGCCACAGGATCTGGTTGGTAATGGCAATCACTGAAAAAAATAAAATAAAGAAAGTTAAAATGATGTAAAAACACATTGTTTGAAATATTTTATTTCAGGTCACTTTTTTATGTTACTTTTGTTAGAAACAATAATGTTTCATAAAATTGACATCAGCAAAGTTGGATGAACAATATGCAGTATGTAGACACAGCAGTTACATAGACATGTAAATCAATATGAATATCGGGGCTTCACATCCCAGAATATACTTAGTCAACTCATGCTACGGAAAATGGAGTCAAACACTGGCCTGATCAGCCATACCTCTGGTAAACAGACTTACTCTTACCTGTACCACTGAAGTGTTCGTGTGTGAGGAACGGCATGGCATAGCCATCAGTTGCAACTGTTAAAGGTGGTGAAAACTTGAGAAAGAAGTATAAAGGTTCTTTTTTCTGTCAAATTCTCTGCTGACCATAGACCAAACGTAAAGTCAAATCGTTCTACCTTTAATACATGAAGAGCTGTCCATGGGAATTCCTTTGAGGCAAAGGGTTGTTTATAAAGTTGCTCAATCATTCCAAACTTCTTCTTTCCTGATTCACAGCTGGCTAAAAAAACAATACTTTTTGTTATTATTGTTGATTGAACACTTTCATTCACGGGAGAGTTCTGCTTTGCTTCACTGCTGTATTGTGAAAACATTGCAGTTAGAGTTTGGTGGCCTGCATGGAGAGCACTTAAACCTCTTCATAGTGTGGTTCCAACTGACATCCTTGAGGTATCCATTATTAAATGGATTGATAAATATATATAGTATAATTAATAATGACAAAAAACAAGTCCAACAAAAGCTTAACATTTTGACAAATCTGAAACTATGAATGCAATTTTGAGCAGGTAGAATAATTTAAATATACAAAATAAGTCCAGCAATGTAAAGTGCAAAAAGTTTAGCAGCAAGCTTGAATCGAATAGGAACCTGTTAAAATAGTATAAGTATAACAAAGTACATACACGTAATAGTCTAGTTTGATCATCCTGGTGAGTGTAGTCCTGAAAAGGGCTTCCAGTGCTTCTGGGTTGGTATTCTCACATCTAGTCCATAGAGTATTACCGTTATTTGTAGTAATCAAGAACGGTACTCGATATAGCATGGCATCCTCTCTAAATTTCACTGGAACAGAGGTTGGTGTACCTTTCAAAATCTTTTTCCATAATTCCAGTGTTTGGAGCTCGAAGATTACTTCTTCAAGTAGGACACATCTCTGATTACAGCTGATTGAAATTTAAAGATACTAGCACTGTTACCAATATCAATAAATTTTTTGAAAGTCAAACCAATGGATAAAGCAATCAAACTTTTCCCACTGTTTGGTGCTCCGTGTAAATACAGGCAGTTCTTGTTCTTTTCTGTCATGTCTACAATTCCCTTTGTGGTGGCTGCAAATTCAAAGTGGTTGATGTCCTGTGCACATAATGTTAATTGAATGCATTCCTCTTGATCTGTCGATGGACGTAAAGGTGTATCCGCGGATGCTTTCGTCTTGTTGTTTAAGATGTAATGCCTGTGCTTTTTGGACATTATCCCTGTAGACGTCCTGATAGTATAAATCTTTCCAGGCTTCTTTACAACTCTTTAGTGGCCAGTCTTCAAATGCGGAAATGTTGGTGGCATTTTAATTATTCCAACATGGCTTCAGGTGTGTCTGCTCTTTTTTGTTTAGCTGTTTGTTTGTTTACTCTTTCTGCCTTCACAGGGGCCATACCCCAGATAACATGGTGTAAGCATTCATTTTTATTTCGATCAAGACACCTCTCACACCCAACAAGAAATTCTTCAGAGCCAAGGCGATTAAATATTGGTTGCATCAACCTAACCACAGATCCCAGAAGTGGATTTTTGATTGGTACATGTGCCTTTTCCCAGGTCACTATATCCCTGTTGTAACTGCACAATGAGTTCCTACCTGTGGGGCAGTCCCCATGTGGAGGCTTCTCTGAGGTACTGGAATAGTGCTTCAAAATGGCATGTGTTGCTCTTGACATGGCTTTTGCATCACCTCTATATTCTCTTATGGCCTGACGATATAAGCCTTAAATAGTGTCTATTCTGGCTATGGTACTGATGGTGGCTGGCTATGGTTGCTGATACAGCAAAAGAACGGCCTCCTTCAGTCTCGCGCTTATGATAAGGACAGATAGAATTATAGCTAGCATACCGTGTGCTTCTGTTATGTTGTGTATTGTTAATCGTAAGTAGTTCATTGAGATAGTTTGGAAGAGAGCCATTTACGTGCTTATAAAAAATAGCACATTTGTTAATTTTACTCTTTCCGTAAAAAGGTATCCAGTAAAAAGTGTCACAGAGGGTGCCAGGTGGTTGGTATATAAAACGATTCCAGCAGTAGGCATGTGTAATTTCAAGAATGTGTAAAGTGCTTCCTTGTCACATGATGACCAAATGACGTCAGCATAGCCCATTACTGGGCGAATATGATGGTATTGTAGAACAATAATCGCTGTTCAAGTAACGGAAACGTTCTGATTTTCCTCAAAACACCTATGCACGTGGCAAGCTTATTGTAAAGATTTTCAATATGAAAATCAAACGAGAGTGAACTATTGATTGTTAAAGCTAAAAGTGTTGCACTTTTTACATTTACGAGCCTATTTTCCTCAACTGTGACTGTGATTGTCAGGACTTTAGACTTCGACTCGTTGAGTGGGAGTTTATTTGAGACGGCCCAGTGACGTATTTCATTTGCAGAGAAATTTAGTGAAAGTTTAAGTTCAGGTAAATTGTTAAAGTGAGCAGATGCTGTAAGGGTAGTATCATCAACGTAGAGGTCTACTTGTGAACTGACATGCAGTGGTAGATGGTTGATACATAGTGTGAAGAACAGTGGGCCTAAAATACTGCCCTGAAAAACTCCATGTTCCATTGGCGCCTCACTCGACTCCTCTCCACCCAGGCGAACTGCTTGCTTCCTTCCAGTCAAATGAGACTGACACCATTTAAGCTCCGTATTCACGATGCCACATGCCTCCAGTTTCTTCAGTAATAGCACATGGTCAACCGTATCAAATGCCTTGCAATAGTCAATAAGCACCACTCCTTAGATCCTGTCCTTTTCCAAATTAAATAGGAGGTCATCATTTATCTTGATGAGGGCAGTTTCAGTACTGTTCTTTTTGCAAAAACCAGACTCTTGAAAAATAAAGTTATTATCACAGAGAAAAGTGTATAACGTATTGTGCATGTGTTGCTCAATGACTTTTGACAAAACTGGTAACGCTGAAATGGTATGATAGTTAAACGGATCACATTCAGCGCCCTTCTTCTGGCAAAGGTAGGTTCAGAACACTTAGGACACTTTCAGCAGCTGAGTGGCCACGACGGGTTAGTCTTGGTCCAAGAACCAGTTCCCTGTTTACGTGGTTAAACCTGTTGGTCTTTGGCGTTGTGTGAAATGGTGACACCAGCTCATGTGAGGAGCACTTAGGGTTTCTGCAATGACAAATTCATTCTACTCCCAGTCCAGTTCTTGCAACTTCTTCAAACTTTAACCCTTTACTTTGACAAAAGCTGCAAGTGACTCAACGAGCAAGTTGTCTATTGAGCTCATCTCATCTACATCTACATCTACATTTATTGAGTTGATAAAATCTTGTTAGATATCACATCAACTATAAATAAAAGCTAAAATAAGATATATATATGTCTATATATTTATACGTTCATATACATAAATTAAATAAAGGTAAAAATGTACAGATAACAAGATAAATAAATGATAATTCATAATTGGAATTTTCTTTACTTATTTCACCTACTTTCCTAAGTTTAGCTTAAAATCAGGTAATGACTTGCAATTTACTAAGTCAGCGGGCAGTGAGTTCCACTTTGTTATTGATCTAGGGAAGATATTGGTATTCTATACTTAAAAGCATGGCTACTGCGTGTTCTTTTTTCTCTGTTTGGTATTCTCTGTGTTAATGTCTACTAGGTTATGACTAAGTTTGTGCATTGGAGTCAATCTGTTTTTCTTCCTTCTTGTTTCTAATGCGTCCCATTTCAGATCGGATAACATGTCTGTCACACTTGCTGTTTTGTGGAAGTTTTGCAGTCAAAAACGAGCAGCTTTCTTTTGAACTCTCTTCAAGGTTGAAATATCCTTTTTGTAGTGTGGGTCCCACGAGGCACTTGCGTACTCCAGTTTGGGTCAGACAATGCTGGTATAGGCCGTTTCACGTACTTTCCTAGGGCAGTTCCAGAGATTTCTCTGGATCAACCCCAAGGATCGACTCACCTTGCTTGAGATAGATGAAATGTGTTTGGACCACTTTAACTCACTGTTAACAGTAATTCCTAGGTACGATGCAGAGTCTACTCGTTCAAGTTTGGACCCACAGAAAAAGTATGTCCGTTGAGGAGGACTTTGCTTATTTGAAATGCAGATGATGATGCACTTTGAGGGATTAAATTGCATCTGCCACTCATATTGCCAAATTTCTAGTTTGTTGAGATCATCTTGGAGATTGTCGCAATCTGAGTCTTCAACCATCAATCCGTACAAGAGTGTCATCGTCGAACAGCTTGACTGTAGAGGTCAGACCGTTAATGTATTTCAGGAACAACAATGGGCCTAGTACTGACCCTTGTGGTACACCCGGGGTCACTGGGGAAGAGGGAGATGTTGCACCCTCACAGATGACGGTTTAGACTCTCTTGGTGAGAAGGGATTCCATCTAAGACAAAAGGTTTCCATGGATACCGTAACGCTCCAGTCTCATTAGTAAGCATTGACGAGGGACTTTATCAAAGGCTTTGGAAAAGTCTAACACAGCAGCATGAATAGATTTGTTTTGTTGTAGGGAACTGGCAATATCATGAATAGTAAGTATTAGTTGAAGTTCTGTGAATCTTTTTGATCTAAAGGCATGCTGACTGTCTGTTAGCAGGTTAAAATGTTCAAAATGTTTCATCACATGGCTATGTACAATGTGTTCAAGAATTTTTGATGCCATGCAGGTTAGAGATATAGGTCTGTAGTTGGAAGGATCAGACTTTTTCCCTTTTCTAAAGAATGCATGCATGCCCCTTAACTATGTACTCTTGCATTGTGCTTCGGTACTTCATAAGCAACTCTCCATCTTTAAGCAGTCGTTTCTTCAAAAGTTGTAACCTTTGTTCTGCCTTCGGTTTATTGTTGGGGAGATAAGGTAATTCTTCCTGCCATGGCAGAGCAACTTGAAAGTGGTCACCCACTCTTTGTAGGGATTGTTCCATCTTGTCTAAGGCTTTGTTGTCTTCAGTGGATGGTAGGGTATCTATTCCAACGGCAGAGTCACCAAAATCAGTTTTCCAAAGTTGCTCGAGTTGGCGATGTAAGATTTCATCATCTGTATCGTGTTTAACATTTTCCTTTGGCTGAAGGACATTCACATGAATTATAAGCTCTTCTTCGTTGCTTTCTGGGCCTTTCATGCTACTAACAACTCGCTCCTGTTCCTTAGTGACATCTGCGTTTCTTTCCACTAAACCAGTTTCACTATTAAGGCGAGTTCCATTACACAAATGTTCAAACGGCTCAATGTTGGAGTGGACTCCCCTTTGCGTCAACTGACTTTCCTTTGTGCGGACAAAATTCACTGAACAACCGTGATCCCTTTACTGACCCTCCATTGGACCCACCACTGTCTATCCTAAGCTGTATCGGATAGCTATCGGCTCATCGTGGCCACCAGATTTACATTCAAGTGGAAGGAACAGGCCAGGATTCTCTTTGAGACCAATCAACAGCAAGACTTCTCCATTTTCTAGCACTGGAATGTCAATGTCTCGGAGATGAGGCCACCAAGTAAGGTCTTCTGTCTTCACAATACAACTTGTAGAAATTGGCATTGGCAACAGTAACTGATTCATCCAAGGACTTCATAACCAAATAAACAAATCTACAAGGCAACTTTCCACCTGAGCTGAGCCCGTCATTCCAGTCAATGTGAAACTAAGTCTATCTCCATTAAGCTTAAGCTTTTTTGCCAGCCTTTCATGGTACAGTGTCACCTCCGAACCATTGTCAAGCAGAGCATACGTTTCGACCATCCTGTCGCTACCTTTTCCTTGAACTTTAACAGGCAGGATCCCAAGACAAGCTTGGTTTTCTCCGGCCCCAGTGGCCGCTACAGTGGCTTCTCCATCATTGCCGGCCCCAGTAACATTAGGAGGCAAAGCATTTCCTTGTCTTGCTCGCGATTGTTGTTCAGCATTGGCATTAGGTTCTCCTCCGGTTCCTGTAGTGTAACGATGCATTAGGGTGTGGTGGTTACCTCCACATCCAGACTTCTGGCACTTGAAATTCACTTTAGGAAGTCTGGCCCTCTCTTGTTTTCATTCTGACGACCACTGCTTGATCCAGTTCCAGTCAAGAACGTTGATGAGTGGAGGGGAGGTTTGCTCTGATTCCCTTACTCCTTCCGAGAATTGTTTCTTTAGAGGGTCCAGAGTTCATGTCGTATCCAAACTCATTGTCCACCAACTTGGCTCTTTCTTTGATAAATTTCACGAAATCTCCAAACTTGGGTCTTTGATCTGATACAATAATACAATCCAGCGTACTCTGTCCATTTTGCTTGGAGGAGCATTGGCAACCTTTTGGTTAGTTCTCTCAAAGTGTTCATGTGGTTAAGGTCAGCTACATATTCGGTGCCCATTCCAGTCAAGGTTCCATCAGTAGTGTCTAAGTGTCTACTATTCCAATAAGGAAGGTCCATCCACATTCTTCAGGCTGGGTAGATGTAGCAGCTTCTTAATATGCGCATCTGCAATTACTTGCGGCTTTCCGAAATTCTCGCGCAGTGTTTCCTTTGCCACTCGATAACCATCAGAAACTGGTAAATTCTCACAGCTCTCGACCACTTCTCTTGCCTTTCCAGTGCAGTGCTGGATCAGTAGTTGGAGCCACCTAGAGTCATCAGGGTTGTCCTGTTCCCAATAAGTTTCGAAGTTGTGAATAAGTGACACATATCTGAGTGGATCTCCATCAAACTTGAGGTATTCAACTTTTGGTGAGGAAACCACTTGCCTCATTGCTTTCACCATTTCCCTTACACTGTCAAAGTACTGTACCTGCTGTGCTGGTGTTGTGTTACATGTCACATTTTGTGATGACTGAGCTTGCGGCATTTGCCAAACAGAAAACCACGATTCTTTAACGGGCTGTTCATACAATGGTTGTGAAGACTTAATATAATCATTTAAATAATTAGTCGTAGACATAGATGGAATGGTAGGAACTTGTGGTTGGAGGGATGGTGTTCGATCCATTGTAAAGGGCTCTGAAGTACCCCTTGGTTCGGTCACACCATGTAATTTAGGTGGCTGCCAATGTTCCTTGTCATGACTAATTACTAACTCCATGTCTCTTCCTTCTTCTCCTATTTCTTCTTCATAAATTTTCAATGACACAGCAGCCTTTTCTGCCTCCATTTCGGCTTCCATTGACTCTCTTTTCCTTCGAATCTCATGTTCTTCTTCATCCAATCGCTGGCGAACTTTCAATTGGCAGATCTTAAGCTGAGCTAAAGCAAGAGCTTCCCTTTTTCGGGACATCATACTCGAAGATGTCTTTGAGCTCAATTTGGAAGCTTTACTGCCCAGACCTTTATGTCCTAAGCTTGAAAATACACTGCTGTGTTGATACTCGGGTTGCCACCATTTTACAGCGGTATTGAGATTTAATTTTCGTTCCATTTGCTACTTATAACCTTTCTCAGCCTTTTCCAACGCCGGAGTGTCAACACCAACAACCAAACACTTGCAGTATCTATCATGGACATCCATAAATTTAGTCCACCCGTCGTTAAAATTTTCCATTTCCTTTGAGATTTCGTCCTGGGTGCCGCCGTTTTCCATCAAACGGGTAATCTTGTTGTGTATTCTGGACAGATTTCCAACATAGCCAGTGTGCGAATTGTTTAGAGTGTGTTTCTTCTCGTTCAAATATCCCTTGATGTCTTCAACTTCGTTACACGAGTTGACTTGAACATTTCCTGCGCCGCTTTCTTCCTCAATTCCATTGAACCGCCCAATACGGTCGAGCGTGCACGTTCACTCGCTTGTTGATGCGAAGAATTCAAATGTAGCTCAAGGTTATCTTCCATAATTCCAAAATCAAAGTGTTCCAACCGAATAATAATACCCGAAATAAAATTACGATGCCTTTGCCACTTCCAAATACTCTTATGAAGCAAGTTAAATCTCTAAACTCCAGAACCAATTCGTAGAAGTCGAAAACTGTTATTTATTTCACAGAAACACATAATGCTTGAAATCGAAAACTCGACTAAACCAGTAAGGGAGGTTTTCTGCAAACAGAAAATACGCCTAGAACAAACAAAATTACAATATACACAAATACAATGAAAACTCACCGACTGTTCGAGCTTAGGGTTTTTATGAACAACGATAATTCACTGTAACAAACATCTCAACATGAACGCGACAATTTTCCTTCCAAAAGCACATGGGCGATTGCCCGGATGTTTTACGTACAACATAGGCCCGCAATGGGAGCTACAATGGTTTCTTCATAACTGAGATATCGCAAAGAAGTGATCTTAAAACATGTTTAACAGACATTGTCAATAGTTCAGTCTTGTCTCTATTTGATTTAGAGTGATTAACCAGCATCCAGTGATTCATTTCATTTGCAGAGCTCTCCATGTTAGACACAGCTAGATCTCTATAGCCAAGTATAGTTGGCTGGATGGACAAGTAGAGGTGTGATAGCAATGAAAGCTCAATTTCAATTCCTTTTTAATGTCTGAAAGCAATGACATGTAAAGAAGATGTTAAGTGGGTCCTAAAGCAGATCCTTGTGGAACTTTACATCTAAGAGAATGTTTTACAGGGGTACCACTATCAATAGAAACATATTGCATAAGATCAGACAGGTACATGCAAGATTGTAACCATACTAGAGGCTCACCAGTTATATCAAAAAAAGAGAGAGCAGAATGTCATGATAAACAGTATCAAAAGCAGCAGATAAGTTATCTCCTTTTTTAAGCAATTCCTTGACCTTGTCCAAGTTACGAGCCAAACACAAAGATTTTTCCTCATTCAGCACATCAGTAAGCTCAGAGCTAGATCTGTATTGACCTTTGTCGGCTTCCTTTCTAAGCTGAGGTAGCTTTTTGAACTTTAATTTTTTTTGTATCACAAATATTGGAGTCAGTAGTGTTGGAATTTGTCCTCTTGAGATCAGATAATTAGTTAAGCATTTAGTTCATCAACGAAAGGACTTAATGGCCATGGCTTCATCTACAGGGTATGTCTTGATTATCTAATAAAATGGCGAGAGCTTTGACTCTTTGCTATCTCTTGTAAGTGTGTAAGGACAATCAGTGGCATTCTGGACGTGCTGTTACCTTTTTATAGTGCTGTTAGGTAGCCATAAAGTGGGGCATTGCAATGATCCAACTTTGGTGGTCCGCATTTGGTACCTCGTGGTGTAGTTGATGTTTCGGAGATGGTTCAATCAAAGATTTGCAAATATTGGCAACATGTTTATTTTACAACAATGACTATCAAATGTTGCAGCAATACTGTGAGTAGTCAATGGTTTCACCTGCAACTGAGATATCTCGAAGAAGTGGTTGTGGAAAATGTTAAACAGAGAATGCCAATATCCCAGTCTTGTCTTTATTGAAGTCAAGGTGGCTCAAAAGCACCCAGTGATTCACTTCATTCACACAGCTCTTGATGTTAGACATAGCTAGATCCCTATCATCAGGTATGGTTAGCTTGAAGGACAAATAAAGTTCGAGTCATCAGCATTAATATTGTAACTCAAATTGAATTTCCCTGCAATGTCTGAAAGTGGTGACATGTTTAAAAAATATATAAAATGGGATTGAACCAGATCCTTGTGGAACTCCAAATTTAAAGGGATGTTTCTCAAAGGTACCAGCATCAACAGAAACATAGTGCACAAGATCAGGCAAGTGAGATTTTAACTATAGTAGAGTAGTATGGTGGCCTAGAACTGCTATAAGAAAATTTACTTAAGTTTAGAGACTTTATACAATTTTTTTTGTTTATTTGCTGGTAAATTAAAATAAAAAAGAGGAATAAAATCATTTTTAAATCAAATGAGATTAAATCAAAATGAAATGAATTAATTTTTAAAAATAAAAAAATTTAAAATCAAAACAAAATCTATTTCCTTTTGAATCAAAATGAACTCTTATTTAATGCTCTATGGCAGCAATAGGCCAAGGAGGAAAATTTTGTATTGCGAAAAAAAAATAATAATCATGGCCTATCGCTGCCATAGACCATTATGCACCTTGGCACTTTGCTGGCATCGTATCTTTCCAACATGACATCTCATACTGGAAATGACAGTTGAAAGGAAGATCAGACCTTGAAAGAAACCTTCAAACTGTGACGTGAAGAGATTCTAGACCTCGTGTCTAGAGATTTTGAACAATATGCTTGGAGCCTTAGAACTCTACATAGAAGACTAAGGTACTTCAAAGTGGAAGGGCCAGGAAAACTTTTAAGGCATAGGGCGTTGCATAAAAAGATTAGGTAAGTCTACGACATGAAGGTACCACGAGATTTGGTTCATGCTGTCATGTACCAGGTAGATCCTGATGCCCTGGAGCAGAGGGCTCCCAAGTTCAAAAAGAAAAATCTGAAGGTCATTTTGTATCAGCTGATCCCAACTTTGTCCACTCACTTGATGGGCACGAGAAGTTGATGGCTATCAAAATAGTTCTTTTCCAATCGCTGTCTAGGGGTGTGTTGATATGTGCTAAAAGGGGCTTTAGGTGAAAGTTTGGATATCTAACAGCAATCCAAATCTTATTGGATGCTTTTATTTAGAGTGCTTGTTTAAGACAAGAAGAGTTGCTTCTAAATTGAGGCCAGACAGAGGAACTGAAACCAGTGGGATGGCAACCATGCATGCACATCTTCCGCAGTAGCATAGTGTTATGGAGGATTTCCATGTGATGGACATGGTAATCTATGGGCCATTGACTTCAAACCAGGTGAGAGTAGCACTTGTATCACGAAATCAAGACTGACATGATAGTTTCATCATTTGTTTGGTCAAGTGTGTTAATTTATGCCTAGTTATAATTTTGATCCTAATTTGAGTGATCTTTGTGTAGAAAAATAGCTAAAGGGATAATTTTCGTACTTGTATAATTAGGAATAATTATAAACATTAGAAGTGTGTGAGATTTTTATATATAATTAAATATGCTCAAGTATGGAAGTTTTACCAACCCATGTAATAAAAACCTTATTGAATGATCTTCCATGTGAGTGAGGATTTATTTTAACTCAACAACTGTATTTTCCTCGTCTTTCAGACTCGGAAAATATGTCTTGACTTGTTAAAAAAAACCTACAAAACAGAAAATTGTGCAATAAGATCTAAAAGTTTTCGCATGTCGTGCACTCAAAGTAGGGTTTTTCTAAAAGTGTGTGTGCAAAGTACACTTGGAGCTTAGTGTAGGTGAGATGGTTGGTAAAAAAAATCTAGAATCAGATGTGGATGTTTGACAAGAGTTCACCTGCAGTGCGAAATGATAGGTATTTTATTTTTAATTATGATTAAAATTATAATAATATACATGTGACATACATACGTTTTAATAAAACTACAAACACAACTACCATACTTACGCTCAAACCTTCAAAACTGCAATAAGTGCAACTTCCTTCCAAAGCAAAATCACAAGCCATACATCATTTGCTTGTTATCACAAATATTAAATGAAAATTTTGCGTGCGAGTGTCAAATGGTTTAAAAAAACTGTACCGTGATAATATAGGTAAATAATGTTTTACTGATGTTATAGATTGCACGATGGTCTTAAGGCTCGAAAAGATTTTTAAACTCCCCTCAAGGGTTCCTTGTCAATGTTGAATTCGACAGTTGGTGGTTTGTTTATATATACACCGTTTATTTGCCACATTGCAGAATTAACTGAATTAAAGGTCTATAAATTAACAATCAACAAATAGTTAACACTACTACTATAGAGACGATAAAAAAATCCTTAATAATTATTTACATATTCTCATATTTACTAGCGAATGAAAAAAGGAACCTGAACGCTGGGTCCAGCAACAACTCCTATCAGCGTAAACAATATTTCTATTGGAAGCCAGATGCCCAGACCTTGCGCAGCTAAAGCATAACTTGTTTCTTGCCAAATATTCCCGTCTACTGGCAATGTCTAGAACCTTGGTACAGTCACTGCTACGATGACTGTTTAAACCACAGTACACACAAGGAGGGGGGCCTTGCTGCTGCTGTATATTTCCTCCAGCCATTAAGTTTTTGTCTGGTTTCTTTTGGTGATTGTCTCGATTCCCAGGTACAGTGGGGCTTGGAGGGGGCAGGCTAAATTCCACTAAAGGCAGGGGGTTTCGGTCTGTGTACTAACTAAAATTTTCATCTAACTCCTCAAGTCCCCATTTCTACCAATCATCATCTTTTTGGGCCATAGCCTCCCTTATCAGACCCAATTTGTCCATTATGCTGTTCACATAACTTTGAGCACCCTCTAATTTCTTCATTGTCGCTAAGGTTTAGACCCTCTTGGACAACTTATAATTAGTGTAAAACTCGTGAATCTCTTCGATTTTGTTGGAACTGGTTATGTTTGGCAAGCTTTCTAAGTTCCTAATTAAGGCCTGAGTGCCATTTCCAACTAAAACTTCTTATGAAACCAGTCTTCTTCTCACTTGTGTATTTCTTTTTTCTCTAAATTATCCAATACCTGCTTGAGCTTATTCCTTAGCTCGTGCACTGGTATTAACTCTTCTTTACGAACGTGTGCCCAAACTTTCACCTCTTTGACACTCAGTAGGTCGCCTTTTTCTACTCCTTAGCGTAGTTCTCCTCGGCTTCGGCTTTATTCACCATATTTGTAGAATTTGTTACTAGATTCGTCGATAGCGTTGTTATTCAATTTCCTTAAGATTCTTACATTTTCGCTCACATGTATCGCTGTCATGGCAGGGTTGCCAATTTTTCTTTTTTTTTCGGCTTTGAACAAGAGAAGAGATCAACCATGGGCCATTACTTTGGAAACTGTGGAAAAAAACAGTGGCCATGGCAACCGAAATTTTATGTTACTCAATCAATTCTTTTTAAATCAATTGCAAAAAATAAAGTGCTAAGAAAAAACAAATGAAAATAAGAAAAAAAAGGAAAGAAAAGGTTTAAGATTCTTATATCAATTAAGTTACTTGAGGATTTCATGCCTCTTGGTTTCCTAACAAGTTGAGAAAATATAAAATTCATTAGAGTTGGTCTACTAAATGGGGTGTACATCTTATTTTTAGCTGCTTGAACCCAACTTTGTTCCTCTTCCCGTTGTAAGACAGTTTATATCCATTAACAACTGTCATTTCTTACCCTAGATCTTTTTCCTCTTTTAGTTTTGTTTGTTTGCTCTTATTCTACAGGAATCAATATGACTTTTAAGAGTATGTTGTCGATTACTTTAAATGTTGGTGCCCAGCCTAATTTTGCTGCAAGAAATGGATGCAAGAATGAGACACGCCAAGGGGGCAGGGTTTCCAATAGGGAAATGTACACACTGCACTGTTTCCTCAGTCAATGATGGTCATTATGAATAAGACGCACTAGGATTTTTGGTACTTGCTTGGAGAGATTTTGAATTTTGACCTTTTTAAATAATTAATTGAACAGTCTTTAGACAGAGGGCTCATCTCACTGGAAAGTGGTATTTTGTGAGGCCCTGTAAAATAAAATAAAAGTCATCGTGGATAGATAACAAGTTAAAAACATTAAAAAAAACTTTGAAATACACTTAATATGTTTGTAAAAGTTGCTTAATTGTAGAGGCTAAAAATCTTGACACTGACGTAACTAAATATATAGTTTTTCACTCTGCTTAAAGACAAGGAAATAGTCAATTTCTTTAAAAGAAGTGCCTAAAGGGTTAAAATCTAACTTTTACAATAAATAAACTTAATCCCTTATCATATTTAATGTTTGAACTATTGGTCCATTGACATGGGAACAAGCTTTGAGTAGTTGAGCTGCTGACTTTTGGTGGAAGGCATACTGCTCCCAGTAGCTTGATATTTTCGCTTGGATTGAGTGGTAATTTTCTTTTGTAGTTTGGTTAAGTTTCTTTTAGAAACCAATCTAATCTGATAGGCCACAAGGTAGGCTTCCTTGTGCAGTAGGTGTACAAGCATGTAAAGTGGCATCTGGACTCTTCCTGGGGCACGTTTGTTTAGGCCATTATGCCATCCTTCTATGTCATTACGGGTGAAGAAGCTCATTGCTTGTTCACGCTCCAGCAGGAGGGAGGCCAGGTAGTGCTTTGTACCCAGGTGCCATCGACATACTCCACAAACTTCTGCGGGGGTTCAGTGGTGGCTTGCAGCTGAAGTCTGGTATTTTACTTGGAGGCAGGAATGGCATAGCCATTATTTTTACAGAGATACTTGAAGGTGCCATCATTTGATTGACATGCTGTCTGAAGACCAAGTTCTTGAATCTACAATGAAAAAAAATGTTGAAAAAAGATGGTTAGCAAATATTAAAAAAGATCGGACACTCCTCCCAATTTTTTTGCAAAGTCAATCATGACCTGGTTAATCTTTGGGTTCTGTGGTAGGAAGTCTAGTATAGTCCTCATGACCTGAAACAAGATAAGGCATAGGTGTGAGTGAATGTTTAGGGCTAATTTTGTTTATTAGTCAGCTTTGAAAAGTTCTCAGACCTGTTTCATGTGGTCCTCACATCTAATACATGCATTGATGGTCCAGAGCTGGGTGAAGGGGTGGTGGCACAACTTGAAGGTACCATCTATAAACCAGGTTTTGGCGTTGCTGAGGAACTGAAGTTGTTTTTCAGTGGCAAAGACAAGGTGGCGTCTACTGTTGACAGTTACATCTGCTTGAAAGAAGGCATCAGGAATGTGATCCTCTTTCAAACTAAAATTCAGGTACACTGGGTCTTTGGGCCTGTAATTTGTCGAGGCCAGTTTGCAGCTTGTGCCAATAACTTTAGTTTTGAAAGGCTGGGACATGGTCCATCAAGTTTCTCAAGGAAGACCTATGAAAATGAAGAGGGGATAAACTTCTATAAGCTGCTGTCAAATCAAAGTCATCTAACCCACCGTAGATGATAAAATAATATTTAAGTCCCTTAATCCTCTACCCCCTAAGCAAATGGTCTTTTTGTAAAATTTAATGAATGCAAATAGGATATCCTTGTATGGTACACCAATTGAAAGGTGTTGATCAGTAGACTTCATAAATCACATGAAAAGGTAACGAGGATCTTCGAAAGGGTTTACTTTGGGCCTCGCGGATTACTGGCAGTCAACAACATTCACCCCTCATACTTGATCTTGTATGTGTATCCATTGCTGTCTATCAATTTTACTTCGCCTTACTATGAGCCCTGCACTACCATCTTGTAAGTTACAGGGAATTCACCAGCTGGACATTCATGATTAGTGGGGTCCTCAATCGCGTCCTCAAAATGGTCTATTGTCCCATCTGAAATTAGAGTAACACAGAGGAGTCAATAAATTTTCGTTTAATTTGTTTCTGTGATAATAATGAAATGAATAATCTTTTTTGTTGCTTCTATTTGGTGTCGTAAAAATCATAAAATCTAAACTGTTATATTCCACAAATACATGTCTACGAAATAAAATTTTAATTACCAACAGTGCTGTCCTCAACTTGTTCTTGCAAAAACTGTCCAAGATTCTGTCGCCATGGTACCTCAATTGTTGGTGGGTGGAGGGGCTCAGAGCTGTTTGACAATGAATCAAAGTTTTCCAGTATAGAGCTTGCAACAACAGTCTCTCTGGATGTGCAGCTCCACTCTTCAGCACGGAATTCACAGTGCCACTCTATTTCTGTCCCAGTCTTAACAGCAGCATGGTAGCGGTAATGTAAACCAATTTCCCAAGAATGAACAAGCTTTTAGAGAAAAGATGCTTGATATGGAACAGACGTGGTAGTTCCCTTGCTGTTGGTCAGCAATTGACGGTTCTGTTATTTGATGCTCTTTTCACTAGCTCTCCATCAGATAACTGCATTGATAAAGAACACTTTGCTGCCATGTCAGGGTTACATGAATCCCTTTCCTGGACCAGTGGAGATAGTTGATTAAACTGTGCTCCTAGCTGCTTTTCATCTTGAACCCCTTTTATGCCCGTCAAGGTCCTGGCAGTCAAAGTAATTTTTTTTTGCATTCAGATACGCATATCTTGAACTTGTTCCTGAGCTTATCTATGCTGAACAGGAAGTTACCATCTTCATATTTCTGGCCCAATTCTTTGAACACATCAGCATGTATTACTGTGTTCTAAAACTCTTCCGTGTTCGTGAAAATCAACTTCTTGTTATAGTACTTACTACTACATATCACATCTAAATTATTGACATATCACTTTTCCCATATGCTTCTCTGTCCCTTTCTCTTCTTTTTCCTTGAACTGCACACTTCACTCTGTTTACTGACTCCTGTATTGGATTCATTTGAATCAGCCTCTTTGTTGTTTTTTGGAGAATAGCTGTGGAACGATGCAGGAGGAGTGTTGGTGGAGCTGGTGTCACAGTTGGATTCCTCATCTCTCAAGTTTTTGGGCAAGTCGGGTAAATCTTTGCACTACGATGCTATTTTCTCCTTCTGGTTTTGATTGTGCACAGCGTAATAGTATGCAAATAATGCAAAATACATCTAATTGATTTATGAATTGAGTTCAGTGTGACAACAGCATGCCGTTTCAAACGGCAAGCGTTGCGGCATGGCAAGGCCTGTCATGCTAAGTAGTTGTGCCAAACCTGATTCAGCTGTGCGCTACTTAATGGTTTCAGACAGCGTGCTTCTGCCATGCTTAAATCAAAATGACAGGCTCATTTTTTGGAAGTTTGTGATATTCATTGTGCAATATTGTGGTATTTATTAAAATGGGGCTATAACTATTTTTTACAGAAGAATTGCTGTTACCAACAACCGAAACCAAACAGAAATAGTAACTAGACATAAAATCTGAGATTAACTTAGTGCCAAAAAAGTGTGTTAAGAAATGCCATATCATATAAAGAGAAGTGCACTTCTGAGGTAGGTAGGTGTACATTCAGTGGTGACCTTGGCAACCTGAGACAGTCAATACAGGTGGTTGCAAAGGGCAAAAAGGAATCTTGCACCTAATGGAATAGAATGCTCGCATGAATGTGGAAACCAAGAACAGGTTCTTCATTTGTGCCAGTCACAAATGTCAAGATGCTTGATAATGACAACCCATGTCTTCTACCACCTAGGAAGAAATTGCAGCATACATTTATTTCGGCTCTGACCATTGTGCAAAAGGTATCAACAATTCTTTAACTTAGATTTAACACCTATTGTTTTAGTACTGTTTTGTTTTGTTTGGGGGTCCCAGGACTATCAAATTTTCTCCTGCTCATTGAATAAAATATTTTCAAAACTTTTGAACAGAAACGCTATAAATGCTGCTTTTCGGAGGCTTTAGTTTTGTAAGCTAAGAATCAACATAAATTATTTCAGTATCAATATAAAAAAAAGACACTTGTAAGATTCAGGAGGTCTCTGCCACTTATAAGTCATTCAGAAGCCCTAGGCTTCAAGACACCTCCTTGCCTCAAATTAATGTACAGTAACTTGATATTGTAAATATCACTGTTAATTTATTAGGCAAAATAAATGAATAACTGTATCCTAGTCATGGACATAAGTAATTGCTGCCATGTTTACAGGTATTTCCCATGAATTGGGCAATGTTAAATTCAGGCAAAGCTGGGTAAGAAGAATCACACACTTTCTCTGTAGTGATGTTGTTATGATAACACATAAGGTTTAATTTACTTACTTGCTACTTCCCTTTAGTATTTTGTAAATGCTGCATACACTGTGTTCTTCAGGGAACAACTGTTTGATCCTTAAAGACTAAATTCAGGCCTCAGAAACTGTACCAGTTGCTTCACTGTTAACTTGTGATCTGGGTTTCGTCTCGGTAAGTGCAAGAACATCGGTAACCGACATCCAATCTGTGAAAATGACTATATATATAACTTCATGTATAACTCCATTGCATCTTTAGAATGAGAGAAGATTAAAAAATAAATGAGAGTCATACCTCATTTAAAAAATGATTGTATGTGATCTTATACTTGGATAGTGCAAGGGCATAAATATTTACTGCTTTTGTATAAAGGGTGCTAATTTTTTTTTCACCTAAAGAGTGTCACTTAATGCCATGATAAATCTGTTTACAGCTCAGTGACCAGGTCACACAGTGTATATTTTCAAATACAAGACATCAAGATTGAAGTTTGGTGTTGAGTAGAGAAGTATTGAATGAGTTACAGCCATTCAAATTAAATTCATAAAGAGGTTTATAGAAAATGTCATAAACAAGATAGGATGGCTGCAGGCCTAGGAATGAACTATCTTTTAGGGTGACCTGTATTTTGAGTTTTGAAGCCAGCTGATTGTTCATGGGAAATGGGTGTATTTTTCAAAAGCCAACATTCAGAACAGTATAGGAACACTCACCTGGTGTATTCCCAAGACATTTAATGGCTAAATTTGGTGGCATTAGTGAAATGAACAATAAAAATTTCTTGAAGGATGTCTTTTAAAAAAAAGGCATTTTTCCATTCTGGGAGATACTTAGTCGTGTTAATAAAAAGGGCAGATTTATAAAAGCATCTGTGGAATGAAAACATTGTACTGAGAATCTAAAGTTTAAACTGTCAGGTGATCTTCTGCTAAATGATGTTTGAGCCCTTTCTCGAAATATTTGGTGTATATTTCAGAAAGAACAAGTTAAAAAAATTCTTTCGTTGGACCACCTAAATCCTCAGCTTCTTAAAATATATACAGTAAACAAAGCGATTATATTTATGCCTTTCAAGAGAGGGTGTGAATCTATATGGGCTACAGTGCTGCTTTTGGTTCATAAATATGAGATCAGAAAAAAATGTTTTTGAGTGAACAAAAATTGTTTATTTGTAAATCATTTTAATACTATGTTGACACGATTGTACCTAATCAAAATAACACACTTTCAATACTGGAAATAATGTAATTTAAAAACAGGAGACAGTAAAAACCCACATAAAATAACCAGAGGCTTAAGAAACACTAGGCTGAAATGTGCCATCTAAGCACCCACTAAACAAGAACTACTTCAGTCTGAGAAATTAGACCTGTTATTGTACAAAAGGTTTTAAGCTTTATAGGGTCATTCTGAAAACATCCTAAGTTGACTTCGAGTACCAAATTTACTAATGCAAGAAAAATGTGTAGTATTATCAGTTAGTGCTCAATCTATGTTCTACATTGACACTTAATAAATTACCACTGACTAGATCACTTATCCCCATAAAAATCCATTTTTTCTTAATTCTGTTAAAGAAACCTCTTTTAGTTCCTCGAATGCCGTCATGAGAGTACTCTTCCTGTCAACTAAGATGTATTGGGTCATTCTTCCTGACACTCTGTTGACTCTTTGCACAGATTTCTTCCTTTGAAAAACTTGTTTGGGATAACTCTTTAGATCTCACTTGGATTTGATATGTAAATTTCTTGACAGCAGGCCAGTTTTTTCAGCAGGTTTATCTATTTCTGGACAAACTTGGGAGGTGGATTGGGCGTTGTCAACTTGGGAGGTGGGTTGGCTGTTGTCAACTTGGGTGGACTGGCTGTTGTTCACTCGTTCATTCTTGCCCATGTATGAACTTAATAATTCTAAAGGAATTGAAATAACACATTGAAATTACATCTTAGTAATGCATGTTAACAGGTTAGGGATTACGTTACATTGATTCCCAAAAAAATATGTAACTGTGGAGACTGCATGGAAGTGTTATAAAAGCTGCTGATTGCTGGCATTTCTGTTACTAATCCAGTGATTGTGAATTAAAATTACACATTGAAATTACATTTTAGTAATGCATGTTAACAGGTAAGGGATTACTTTATAGTAATTTCCAAAAAATATGTAACTGTGGAGACTGCATGGAAATGTAGTAAAAGCTGCGGATTGCTGGCATCACTGTTACTAATCCAGTGATTGTGAAAGATCATTAATATGAAAGGCTACCTTAATTAAGCTAATCACTAGAAATCACTGTTTTCTATTTTTTAAAATAGAAATAAGCTCATGTAGATCATTTTCGCCGAGATAGTTATTCAATTGCACAAACACTGTTTTTTCTATCAATTTAGATAGAAACTTTAAATTTGACACAGGGTGAAATTTACTAAACTGCTCAAAATCTGCATTTACCTTCTTGAGAAGAGGTTATAGCAGCGCGATCTTAAGTTTCTTGGGCTTCCTAAGTTCCCTGTATCCTTAACAGGATAATAAAAACAAATAACAAATGAGGGTCTGTCCGGCAACGATTCGAAGTTATTGCTTCTTACACAGCCTAAGATCCCTCGCTAAAACTAACTTGGTAAAAAAACGGCTAAAAAAATCCTGTAACGCTCAAACTATGCACATGGCGTGGGAAACTACGCCCCAGGTATATTGTCAGCGGCGCGGAGAAGTTTATTTAGGAGAAGTCAGCCAGTCTTGTAGTCTACACATCCTACTACAATCTGCAATGTTCTGCAAGTATTCACTGAAAATAAAGGGTTATACAAAAATAGGCTGTGCTACGCCAGATACGAAAAACCACTAAAAAACCACTCTTTAGAAGTGGCCAAAAACTATGTGGAAACGTATTCCACATCTAATGCAGCAGCACTATACCCCGAGGAAAGGGTAACTAAAATAAACCTAGTTACACTACTAAATCACACAGAAAATTCAATGAAAGGAGTGATGTTTTACATAGAGTTTTAAAGCAAAATTACATTAAAAAAAATAAATAAATAAAAGAAAGTGGCCCAACCTAAGACTGACCGACGTAGAATGACCTAATTTCCCCGCGAAACGCTTAAATAACCCGAAACTACCATGATGCCATGCGAACCTCTCGAACGTGCCGTCAGAATATTAATTTCTGACTAATTCGTTCCCATGTCTCTCAAACGTCAGAAATCACATATTCTGACTACACTCAGGCGAGATATTCAATGTGAAAGTTTATTTAGGAGAAGTCAGCCAGTCTTGTAGTCTACACATCCTACTAGAGCCAAAGAAAGGGAAATATGAAGTTGAAGGTAAACGCTACAGAATTAAATACCTAACTTTTTTGACACTGATAAACGTGTACTCAAACTATCATCAACATAGCCATTTTTGGCGGAAACAGATCTCCAACGCCCGTGCCTCTGAAAGACTCTGTCGGGAACACCAGCATTAGCTGCAGCTGAAGCACCACCAGCTCTTAAGGAATGTGTGCTGAATAGAGAAATATCTGGAACAATATCCTTAAAGCTAGATTTGAAGTAATCTCTTATACATGAGTAACTTAGCGGCTTGTTAACAGATACTAGTCTGTGATCTAATTTAAACTTGTACAAGGCCCTAAAGACATAATGGTCTGCCTCAACTGGAAACTTTTCAACCTCTCTTAAATAACGCCTGAAATTGTTTACAGGGCAGGTAGCAATATTGGAGCTCTCTGAAATTACAACTTGGCTCCCTTTCCTAAGTTGATCTGTCTTACTTCTGACCACGTTGATAGTTAGGTAGTCACTATGAAAAGTAATGTCTCCATATCTAATATGAAGAACCTCCTCAATTCGGAAGAAACCAGCAAAAGCAAGAATAAAAAATGCACACATTTTGTAATTCAAGTAAATTATCTAGGTTGGATTTTTCAACAAGTTTCCTTATCATGTCTGGAGAAACTGGCTATTTCCTATTACAAACGTGAGTTCCCATTATTCTCTTAGCAGCCCTGCTAACTGCCTGGATGATCGGGTTGTCTGTAGGGGAAGGTAAACCCGCCAAATGGTGTGCCCACTGTATTCCAAATATGGCAGAGTCGACCGCTGAGTGGGAATGGGTAGTATCCAGTAAATGCTGTAAGTATAACGCCACATGCTCTGACTTTGCAGGAAAAGCACAAATCTCCCTCTTGGAACTGGCAAACACTTTCCACCTCAGAAAAGCTCTCCTATAGGCGTCTGTGGTACCTGGTGCTCTTGACGCAATGACAGTTGACTCCAGTCTAGACGCAAGACTTCTCAGCGTCGGGTCACTCAACTCGTCAAGGCACTGCCACACGCCATGATTGAACACATCTAAAAAAGGGAAAAACAAACCAAAAAGGGGAAAGGCAAACAAGTAGTACGAACGATGGCATTTAAGATCTGAATGAGGTCGAGAATACGATAGTGAAGACACATTCGCTGGGACTGTAAACACACCATAGCTGCGCCGACTCCAGTCTATGCTCTCCGAACAAGAAATTAATGGAGGATAAAAATCTCCGTAGTACCTAGGCTGCGATTATTATAAACCTCAAAACCATTCGGGTCGACCATAGCGCGAAACAAGACATTCAAATGCTCTTGGTAACACCGAGGGGTACACATTTAATCTAGTACTACAACTTTGTGTCTCCCCACGCGAAAAACAAAGAAATGTTAAAATTATGAAACAACTCTCTTAGCCACGGATGACGCAGATCAAAGATACTGCCAGGGTAAACACTTTTCTATGTGGATTCGGGCACCGGGGGCCCCCAACATAAGCAATATACAAACCTAACATGATATGTGAGCCCATAAGTGATTGCATCTAAACACACTAAGTATTCTCACACACTGCGATTTTTAGCAAGCAGCCAAACAGCTGCAGCCAGCCGGTCTTCGAGCAAGAGAAAAATGTCATTATGAACTGAATAATCGTCCAAGTCGACCATCTTACTCACAAAATCTGCGTACGAATTACAATCTCGTGGTACCCAAGAAACATCCAACTGAATTTGTTGACGCAAACATATAGGAAAAATATCCAAAGCAATGTCTTGCAACTCCTTAATCATGCTACCAACTTGAACAATTCTCACGACATTTTGACTATCTGTTTTGCAGCAAATTCTCCGACCAGCCAGATGATCTTCAAAGGAATCAAGGGCGAACTTTATGGCGACTAACTCCCTCCAGGTTGAAGATTTTCGAGATTCTTCGGTGGACCATTTTCTGTGGTAAATTAAGCTGGAACCTTTAATGAGGGCTCCGCAGCCAGTGGAAAAAGCATCTGAAAACATCTCCTTAGACGGCACAAAAGGCTTCTGCCAAAAAGGAATTCCATTCAAGGATCTAAGATTGTCTCGCCAAAATTTAAGTTCCTCCTTCGCTGGATCAGTAAGAACGACCATTGAATTCCAGGAATGACGAGTATTGATAACTAGATTCAATTATCTAGTCATGATTTGAGTAACATTTCCACAGCTAGGAGACATCGAAATAATTTGACCCACAATAGAAGCGATTCTCTTTACATGCACGAACGCAGACGCCTCTAAAACAGAACAAACCTCATTAAGGTCATTTAACAGTTTTTCCATTCTCACTGCACTTGCAAATATGAACCCCGTTTGAGTGTCAATATCATAGCCAATCCAAATAAAAAAATTTTCTCTCGGGCTCCCAACTAGACTTTTCTTTGTTAATTTCGAAGCCACAGCGTGCAAGATCTGCACGAACAATGGAACTGTTAATCTTAGCAGAATTCAACGAGGAACCGGCCGTATGCAGTCATCAAAAAATAGAGCGATTGGAATTCCTTGTCCCCAGTGGGCTTCGAAAGGTTTTAGGAGCTTTGTGAAAATAAAAGGAGCACTAGAAAGCCTAAAAGGTAAAACTGTAAATTGAAAATATCTTTCAACACCTGTGCCAAAGTCCCACGAGAAAACCAAATATTTGCGATGGTCCGAAAAATATCTACATGATGATAACCCGCTTTCAAATCAAATGAGAATATAAAATAATTTTTGGATAAGGCACTCTTGATGGTATGTAGGCCTTCACACTTAAACTTCTGCTTAAATATATGCAAATTGATATGCCTTAAATCCAAGATCAATCTCTTTTTACCATTAGCTTGAACAGAAACAGACAACGGATTGACGATATCCGGAGGAGAGAATATTTCCTCGACGCGATTGTCACGTAAGAGTTCCGAAATAGCCTCAGTAACAAAACCCGTTCTTCCAGGGCGGATGAATTGTTCTTACAATGGTGAGGTGGCGGCGTACAAATAAATGGAATCTTATAACCGTCTCTGATAACACTCAAGATAAAATCTGGTACTCCGATGGAATGCCAAAACGCAATAGATTTAGACAGCTTCCCTTTAACAGAAACCTGTGGGATAACAGAGTCATAGCTGCCACCAGTACCTGGCGATTCAACCTCATAGTTCTCAGAATCCTGGACGAGACCTTGACGGGAAAGATTTTCCGAATCACACAAAAGGTATATAACGGAAATGTCACACTTACTTTGTTCGTCAAGGGATTGATTCTTCAGTCATCTACAATCAAGATTACCTCTGGCGGCCCCTGAACGAGCAATCTGACTGCATTCGGACCTCCAATGCCCAAATCTGCCACAAGCGAAACAATTTCCAGGTCTTGATGGGCGATCAACCAAGGAGCGATTAAACAAGTTTAAACGATCACGCTGGCCACGCCAGGAACTGAGCCCGGAGGAAGCTCTTTGGCTCGGTGGAGCAAAACGTGAACTCGAAGGGCGGAAAACTGAGGAGACTTGCTTAGCAGTCTTTCTAGTGGAGGCAGACTTCAAAGCTTTCTCAGCTCTTTCTCCGGCGCGACGTATCTTCTTTCCATCATCTTCATCTTCTGCCAGCTCGTGCTGTGAATATTCCTCGACTGTTTTCCAACCAAATTCAGATTTATCTGCTAATAGAATTAACTTTTGTCTATTTGTAAGTAGTAACGTACCTTCTGTTAACGACTCCTTTGCTTTCTCAACAGCGTTTGTTTCAAGGTGTGTCTTCGCTTCCTCCAGGGAATCCTGCAGTTTTGAGTTAAACTTGTACTGAATTTCGTTCCCTTTGCGTTTAAATGACTTCGGTTCTTCTCTTCTTAACTTCTTTACTTGTCTCAGTTGTTCGTCTGCAGCTTCGGCGTTAGCTCTTTTCAAATTTTCGGCTGAATCGCTCACTAGTTTAGAAATTTGTGTCAGTAATGCTCTATTATTCTCCGCTAAAGAGTTGCTGATAAAATCTCGTACTTCTTTTGTTACTGACATGGTTGACGACAATGGGTTAAATACTAAGAAGACTGTAAAAAGAAAGTGGCCCAACCTTAGACTGACCGACGTAGAATGTAGCACTTTTCATTGAAGAAGAATAAAGGTAATTAGTAGCGTTATCTTAATTAAGCTATATTGTTTAAAAATCGGTCCGATGTAAAATTAAATTACCTTTTAAATGTTGGGTTTTTGCTTTGTGTCAAGACTGAAAAGCGGCAGATTTACGAGCTTCGACCATCAATTTTGCCATGAAAACAAAATAACATTGCAGAAATATTCCTTTTTAGCCTGTGTTTGCCATAAGTTTCAGATAACACGTTGGTAAAGTCTATTTACTTTTCGAAAAGCTTAAGTATACGTTGTAAATTCCCACTCCACGTAAGTACACGCTCAGTTCCAACTCAGCTTTACCATAACAACACTTCAATGCTTAGAAGTGCCAGCTGTTCGATGGTGTCACCATGCGCCCTCCAGCAAACTTCAGGCTGACCTTCCCAGCATCCGCGGTACACACACTTCAGAACACTAAACTTTCGTCCCAGTTAAGAAAGCGGTCCTCGAAGTCCAACAAGGAGCCATCCTGCGGCTTTCCCAGTCCCTGTAACTACACATGGCCAACCGCATCTATCAGCTTCAAGTTCGGTGGTACGGCTTGGCAGCCAAGCTTCACTGCGCGATCTAAAAAGCAATGTCTTCCAAGGCAGCTTGCACCTTTGTCATCAATATGGGCCCAGCTGATTTCTGCCATGATCTTGAATTACTTGGGCTAGTGGTTGAAACCAATTTCAAGGTGGAGAAATCAAAGAATCGACTCGCCAATCATAAAAGCAAAGCAGAACGTGCTTGATAATTTCCATTTCTCTCAAGTCCGTGACTGACTGTTTGAAGGTAAAATTAGCAGTGAATACAACAAATTAATTTATTCGTATTACAGGGAAATTGTAATCAATGTCCGCAATGTTGTTTAACTTATTGACAAGACCTTTGAACAATATACGTAATGTTTATTATTTATCTTATATCTCCTACCATCGTTTTGCTCTTTGAGACGATTTAAGCTGTTCTATTTACAGTTTGGTCATTATTAATTCTCATACTCGTGAAAGTTTTATAAGCCTTTTCCCTGAGCTGTTTCCTCTGGCGATTCTCTTATGTTTCCTCGCGAATTTGATATCTCGCTTCTGTCCTTTCCAAATGGAGGTCAATGGCTTTCTGTTTATAGTATTTCTTCTCCAGGTCAGAAAGTTGTCGCCAGTCCTCTGCAATGCTTTGAATTGATTTGAGGAACGTTATCCTTTCTTTTCGTCTAGGACTCTGATTATTTTGCGCTCTCTAGAAGCAATTAAAAGTAAAAGCATCAGAAATTATTTCACTTTATTGAATTCTCTATAATAAGTTAAGTCAACTAACCTCTTTAAATTTCTCATTGAGATATGCTGTCCAACCATTTGGTGGCTTTTTTGGGGGAAACCATTGCATCTTTTTTCTTCTTGTGAACTCTCATCTGAGATTTGTTACCACTCTCATCAACTGGGCCCCTTTTCACTTCTCTTATTATTCTCTTCAGGGCAGCAAAACCAGAACTCTCTTTACTTAAACATAGTACAATCAAATTTCAGCATGCAGATATTCTTTTACTGTTCTCAGGAAGTGATAATATGACATTAGACTGTGATCATGACCTGTATGCTTGATAATATCTTAGCACTATCACAAGGGAAAAGAATCTGATCATTTACCAAATGTTTGTAGCGTGTATGATATTATGACAAGAAATTAGATTCTGATCATGAAATAAGGCATTACCTAACTCGCAACCGTTCAACAGACTGCTGCATTGCACCACACGCGCCTGTTGACAAAGCTGTGAGAGGAATCGGGTCTACTGCATGCTCTTCCACGTTGGGTGCAATTCTTTCTTTTACTGCCCAGTCAATGAAGCTCAGTCTCACAACTGTCCATTCCCTTTGGTAGGCCATAACCAAATCACTATTAAGCTTTGAGCAATCACTTTTGACATCATCTTCTGAACACACTGTTGATATTTTTAAAACATGTTCACCAACCAGGCATCCTTCGAACTAAAACAAAGTCCATCCTCTTTAGTGGCAGCAATTGCCTAACCACACTTACACTGAACACAGCAACTGAAGGATTTGGTCTGCTATTAGGCTTAGCTACATAATTCCTGAAAAATCGTCTAAAATTTTGTCCGGAATTTTCCAAACAAAAGCTCTAAAATTCTCCAAAAACTCCATAAAATTCCCCAAAATTCTTATAAATTTCGTTTCTTATAGCGATAACAAGAAACAATGAGTTGTAAATCGTAAAACATCATTTATTGTCATTGTTTAAAAGTTGCAAAAACATCAATTAACGTTTGCTTATATATGTATTCATCTTTCTTTTTAAACGAATGTCCTATGTAAACTTTCTCTTGAATCAACAAGACAAATGGCGTACAAGACTTCAAGGTAAAACCTTCACATTGAACCTATCCCTGAGACTCTGACCAGCTCCTGATCAGTCACTTTAATAATAACTAGAACAATTTCCGCAAAGTATTTCCGTTGTTCTGCTTTCCAAATCAACGAAATAGAAAACTATCAATATGTTGCTTTAGCCTCCAAACTAGCGACTTTTTATACGTAGCATGAAGGCTGCCTCAAGATAATCTTCAAGGCCCTCATGCTGCTGGTCCCCAAACATGGTGACCAGCAAAGAAAAAACCCGCTTTGCAGCAGCTGATGATGGTTGAAAGAACCATCTTCTGCACAGCAGTAGCCCAACATGGTAGATCCTGCGCGGTAGCTTTCCACCAAGGGAGCGTGTCAGTCAAGTCGTAGAAGACATCAGGTGTAGAATTGGCGTTGGCAATGTAATCTGATGGCAGCTTGCTCGCATCTCTGCGGGAATGTGCATGTAGCACGCAGATGGTTTTAAAAGAAAGGCAAAACACTCCTGACAGGTTCGTCTGGGAATGTCCAGCAGATAACTGCAGAAAGCGTAGATCAGTCAGGGCTGGATCTTTCTTTGAAGCCTCCAAGATTCCACTCGCACAATGGTTATACAACATCTTCCTGTGGTCCATTGGCAAATCCAACCAAAGACACTCTCTGTTAACTGAATTATCACTTCGAACCATCGTGACTTTACTAGACAAAATCTGCAATATCTGCTCCATGAAGATCTTAAACGGTAACTTCACGCTGGGTGGCCGAGGGAAAGCAGTGGAAATTGACAAGTCAATGTTTGGAAACAAGCGAAAGTACAACCGTGGACGCGTTTCTGAGGGCCAGTGAGTATTTGGAATGGTAGAGTGAGATATTGGGCGAAGTCTAGTTTTTCGTGTTCCAGATCGCTAACGAGAGACCATGGTAACCAGACTAGTGCGCGAGTTCATTGAACTTGGCACCGTGAGTTCTCGCCATACTTCAACCTAAACAATGTAGGTTACATCCACCTGATGGTCAACCATTATAAAAACTTCGTCAACCCTTATACTGGAGCACACTGCAACACCATAGAGGGACTCTGGGGTCAAGTGAAAAGGAAGCTGAAGGTAATGAATGGGACCACAAGAGCCAAACTGGAGTCTCAGATCTGACTATTGGCTGGAGACAGATTCAATCACATGTTGTCCCACATAGCAGAGATCGTTCCACCGAACTAAGTTAGCTTAGTTCAAGCTTAAACAAACGGTTCCTCTAAGAGCTGCGTTGATGTTTGTTATAAATAAAAAAAATTAAATCCAAAAAAACGCAAAAAAGGTATACTTTAATATTTTAATGGTCACAATATGCCAAAAGGCGATGATTGCAATATTATAAACAAAAAAAGTAAAATGATACTTAGAAAATAAATTTAGCAACAATTGTTAAATTTTTAAAATTGATTGCTTTGATGAACGCATAATGCTTTTGAAGTTAATTTTTTTTATATTTTGTTTAATGAAAACAAAACATGTTTCGGATGAAACATCATCCATTGTTGGGTAAAAAGAAATAAATTGAAATTATGCAATAAACAGTATAACAAAGTGAGATGTTAACAAGAATAATTTTAAAAATTAATATTAAGTATTATATTAATTATTAATATTGATGTAACTTACAGTATTATTACTGAGAGTTAAATTAATATTTTTGTAAAGGAAAAGAAGTGTGCACACTTCAAATACAATTATATTGACTTAAGGGGGAGGTACAGTTTACAAAAATTTTACTTCAATCACAAGAGCTTTTCCTTGGCAACTTTAAAATAATTGCCATTTTGTCCAGTTTGCCTTGCAATTGTGACAGTAGTGCTTCGAAGTTGGTCTTATTCACAATTTTTGCGATTAGAAAAACTCCGTCCTGGATATGATGTCAGCTATGACGTGGCAATAGTCAAGCCTTGTTGAACACTTTGACCTGATTGTCCCTACTGACGATTATTTCTTATGAGATTTAAACTATGGTTAACTGTCATATTACCTACAAAAATACAAAAGGGATAGGAGTAAGCTTCTGCAAGCTACCCAAAAACGAAAATTTAAGGAAACTTTGGCTGGTAAAAATGAAATGCGAGGATGTTTTGCTGAAACCCAAGAGCTGCTATGTCTGCTAGGATGACTTTATCAAGGAACACTTAAAGCGGAATATTCAGGTATGAAAGTTGTGCTCTCTGACCTTTGCTTCAAACTGAAGGCTATGTTTTCCTTCCACACATTCAAAATGTATTTTTCTTTAATTGTTTTTAAAGAACCACTGTAATGGGAGCAAAACAAACTGAGGCCTGCATTTGTGATTGACCGTGTGTGACCAAAGGTGACTTTTTCTGTTTTTTCCCAACAATTTTTCCCAAGCATTTTTCATAATTTTCTTATAAAGGGCATGTGAATATTTGTCGATTTTAGAATCACTTAAAAAAATGTCTTCTCGTTCACTGTATTGATATGAATACAATGAGGAAAACCATTAGTGTGTTCAATTTTTTGTTCTTGTCAAAAATGCAGTCCCTGATCTCCCAAAAAACACCGCACCCATTCCATGCTCATCTAATAAAGATCCTCTTGCATGGCACGTATTCAGATTTGGAAAAAAATTAAGCAAATACAAAAGGTGAATAATCGGCCTAAAATGCCACCAGCATTTCTATGTCAATGACAGAAGCATATGATTGAAGCGAGTCATGCTATCCTCCATTTGCATTCTCGCAGAGTGTGGCAATAGCTGTTTCAATGTCTTGGCTACTGCTGAAAACATCGAATATCTTCCTTTCGGGGAGCTGTGGAAAAATTTATTTGAGTGTTTTAAATCCAGAACTGTTATATACTGTAGTAGTGTCTGAACCAGAAGATGAACTACCAAGAAGAGAAGTGGGTATATCACTTGTTGTGAAAGGATCAGAAAGGCTAGTTGCAATATAAGAACGAGGTTTAACAGAAACAGAGTTTGCATCTGATGCTTTAACAGCAGTGGTTATCTTGATAGAGCCGCTGTCAGTGTACTTGGTAATTTTTGTTTGTGTTGGTTCACCTGGGTCTTCAGAATCCTTCTCACTGTCTTTCTTGTCATCTCCATCATCAGAAATTGGGTTAGCAAAACCTTTGAAATTATGATCATAGTAATCTGATGAAGAACAAAGATAAAATGTTATCCTGTTGTATGGTGTAACCAGTTCAGCTTTGTATTCTTGTAAGCTGAATGCTTAGTCAGATTCTCTAGGTTTATTTACTTCTATCTCATCTGGGTACAGCAAGTTGTAGGCCAAAGGAGAGCTATGAGTAATTTCATTAGCAGTATGCTTCGAGTGCTCTGCTACTGCTAACATTAATAGCTCCTTCCCATCTGCTGTTCTACCAATTCTTACAGGGAGAGTTTTTCCTCATTGGGGCTTAAGCATATTTTCCTCTTCAGTATATCGCATGATGTCAATGTTGATGGCTACAGGTGGGTCTTCTTTTTCAGTCATCCTTTTAGTTTTCTTGCTCTTTTTTTGAAGTGCGACTTTCTCTCCTCTTTTTTATTATCAGGGTGAGCGTCTTTGCAGGCTTATGTCATTCAGCAGGAAGGTTGACATTAGAAACCTCTTGAGTAGCAGGTGTCGAGATTGCACTTGGTATGACAGGTGGAGATAGAGGGGAAGGTACTGGCTGTGGTGGAAGGGCTTCATCCGATGAGGAGTCAGTATCACTGTCGATTACTGATGTTCGAAAGTATTTTACTTCAGATGGAACCCTGTGGCAATCGATGTCCTCACACAGTAAGATGTGCTTCGAAGTTGAAAGCCAACAAACTTTGTGATGTTCCAAAAAGAGCTGGTTACTTTTACGACCTAATAGCAGTTACAAGCTGTGGTCTTGTTGTGCGTGGAGAAGAGGTGGACTAAATCACGGACAGTGATGCAATCAGCTGGGCGGCGCCTCGCGATTGGGCCTTTTGCCATCTTGCTGTGGGTGTGATTGGCAATACGATGTTCATTCTGCTTAAAGATAATGCTTTTGTCATGCAGTGATATTTGCTGGTTTGAAAATTGATCTCGCTGTGCTAATGTATGGTACAGTATAAAGGGGTGCTTCATCCATTTATAGACACAGAAATGTTTTAATTCTTTCTTTTAAGATTCATCCAGCTGAAAGTAAATGGATGGAGTTTAACGCCCATGTCAAGCACCCCATAGGGAGAGAGCTGAATTCTATGGTAAATGAAGACCTCTTGAATATGGATGATGACATGATCAAGTTCTTCGTGTCATGGTTTGCATCTAGGGTTCCAGATATTGGAATATGACAAGTAATGAGCCTTTGGAACAATCATACTATTCACGGTTAACATAGACACATCCTACTCTAAAAGTTACATTTATGTACCAAAGTACGAAATGTTCTTTCAGGCGCTGGAAAATGGAAACAAAAGCTCCCTGCTTAAAAATACCACATTCAAATCACAAACATCTCAAATTGCTGGCAGAACTGTAGTCCTATAGTTCTTATATT